CGCGGACAATCCTGCCCTACCTCTTTGAAATCGCAGCGCACACGCCGCTCGATCTACAGCACTGACCCTTCCCGTGATGAAGTACCACGCAGTCCAGGGCGCTCGTCCAAACGATCTCGGACAGCATCAGCTTCAGCGCCGAGGCGATCTCGACGGCCCTTTACAGTGTTTTATTCCAAACGTGCTGGCCGTTCATCGCGATCCCCATCGGCAACATGCAAACATTACTGTCACGCTATCCTGCGCCATGGACGGAAATGTCTTTCCCCTTGTGCACGTAGACGACCAGGTCACTATCATTGCAGGTGTGCGCGACATCAACGACAGTGAAAGCCAGGTTTCAGACATTTCAGACCTCGCTGACCCGTTTCACCTTGTGTTTGAAAAGTTGCCTTGCTCCTCAGTGGATGTGTGCGGTTGGCAATGCATGTGTGTCCTTGCCGCAGATTTTCGATTTGTTTAGCAGTCGTGCAAGCCCGTATTGCTGCTATGAACCCCCAGTATTTCGAGTACCAGATCGACAGAGGAGTGGAATGGATTCGAATTTACTCTCCGGGCATTTGGAGGCCCGTTCCGGAGGAAGCGCCAGTTCCGGACCCACTTTACGCTTCCACATTTCGGGAGTGGCGCAGATCATACCACTTCCAAGTGTACTGGTCTGAAGACAGCACCGGAGGCACCACAATGGATCCTATTGCCACGCCCAGTGCCTATGTGTCCTATCACGTGTGGGAGTACCGAGACTGGCAAACGCGAGGGTACCAACGACTTGGACCTCCTGTCCAATCCATCGGACTCGCGATGCTCGCCAACGCAGACATCGAGTCCTCGGTGGGCTCGTCGGTACCTGATGGAGCGTGGCGGGAACCGTCACCGCCACCATTCCATGATCCTTGGAATAATTCGGATTGACTCTTGAGTTGCATGTTGGATAAAGATGAGGTTGTGCGTGCTTTGAATGTGAGTTCTCATTGGGTTGTCTTGCTTGGTGCTGTGCATGTTGTCTCCATGTGTCCGCCGCTCTCTGTGATAACTTTGAGCAGCTTGTCGGGTTGAAATGTTCAATAGTACGGTGCAGGGTGCAGCAGGATGGATCCTACCTCGCTATTTTGACTATGACATCGTCAATGGACCAGCAGGAACGAGTGTGGAATGGATTCGAATCTATGTGCCGGGTCAGTGGCATCCAGTAGCCCCTGACACCCTGGGACCGGCCCCGGATGACCCGACCGCCTATCGGGAATGGCGCAAGGTCTACCACTTCGAAGTGTACTGGCCCAGGGAAAGCACTGGCGGCACAACTATAGGCACGGCTCTGCAACCGGTATCCCACGCCACTTTCTACACTTGGTATTACAGGGACTGGGTCACCAGAGGGTACCAACGCCTGGGTCGTCCACATCCCAGCATAGCGAGGCCAGTTTTCGCTTCGGGTGCGCCGGACCTCATGTATGCTGGAATGACCTCCTCTTCGGCATCATCCAATTCACATGATAGCTGATGCCCGTCCTCGCCTCCCTGGAGAGTCTGACTGTGATGTTGGCGCCGCACAGTGCTACAAAAGTGGTCTTTTGCGTTTTGATTGTTGATTTGCTTTCACTCGTTGTTGTCTGCAGCCGTACACCTATCAACTTGACTTTCCGTGGTTGCGTTGTCATGCCGTGGCTGGAATGGTGCCCGGACCCTCAACAACCTGATGCCCAGTGGGTCAAGATCTTTCATCCGGGACCATGGACGCCTCAGGAAGAACAGGATGCTCCACCTCCTCCGCATACTTTCAGAGAATGGCGGGAGTTCTATGCTCCCAACCAGGACTCAGTTGAAGGGCAAGTCCAAGTCACTACGTGGTACAAGCGAGACTGGGCCACGGAGGGCTATCGGAGAATCGCTGCTCCTCACGCCGGTCATGAATTTGATTCCATGTATCCCTCCGATCACCATAACGTGGCCACGCAGTCTGCGTCGTTGAGTATGTCGCCGGAGCTGTTAGACGCGATTCTCAGGTCCTCGGATGCGGCTGATTTCTCCACTGAGGAACTGATTCGTCTCCAGGAGGGGATTTCTCAACAACTGACGGCCCGCGCACGTCTGACCTCTCATCCTCATCAACCAGTACGTGCATCGCGTGGCAACACACCATCGGAGACGATTGGGGTCTCCGACCCCTACACGCCCGTGAATCCGTCCGGTAGCGGCCAAGACAAGATGAGGCCCGTCTTCGAGCTCACTGAAGACTAGCCTTGCATGAGCAGCGCAGCGCACAAAATAAGGGTGACCTCTACACTTGCATGATCTTGCTTTGCTGTTGTTTGAACATGGTTGTGCATGGTGCTTGTCCACCTACTAGCTGGATCGGAGCCCGCGACCATCCTTGCCTCTTGCCTCGACATGGACATCGATGATTCCAAGCAGTATCCATGGCTCGAATATTCGGTCTGGCATGATCAGGAGTGGGTGCGGATTTACACTCCGGGACAACCTCAACGATGGCACCGTGGTGACGCCGTACCTGATCTACCTGAAAACTCTTTTCGTGAATGGCAGCGGGTGACGGATCCCGAAGCGCCAGTCCAGGCATGGGACATCCGTGACTGGCAACACCAAGGGTACCAGCGCATTCTGTCTCGGATTGAGTCCTTCGCAACTCACTGTTCACATGATCAGACTCTTGGTCAAGGTCGGAACTCCGATGCCGTTCAAGTTGAGGAGACCTTCACCTATGCCACTCCGTTTTCTCATGGTGATCGCCCGGCTGCTTCGCAGATCGCTTCAGTCCTCTATGGCGACACTCGTAATGCTCAACGTTGTGAACTTTCGTTCCCGTCTTCTGAGCGGTTTAGGGCAGTGTCTCGCTCCCCTCGCCGTGGTGGATATTTTGGCCAACGATAGTGATTTGAGTTTGAGCATGTGATCTTCCTGCAGGAGAAAAGAGAAACCTCGCCCCTCGTAGAGGGGCGTGTGTGTGCGGAGTGACAGAATGCCCTGTCACCACCCTTTCGGTTTCGCAGCAGGGGCGTGCAGCACCTTTGGCATACTGCACGCAATGAAGCTGTTGCCAAAGGTGGGAAGGGTGTCCAGACGTGGACACCTGTACCTGCTTCAGTGATTCTGAAAGTCCTTTTGGCCCCTTGGTTGCGGCGCTGTTTTGTGCTTCTTGTTCTTGCTCGTAACGTGTTCGACACTAGAGGGAAGCCAAGTGCATTGAGAGCCGAAACTCATCATACTCGAGACTTGTCGGTTGTACTCGAGACTCATCAGTTGTACTCGAAAGATTAGCACTCTCCATCTGGAGTTCAAGTGTGTGCAAAACACATGCACGGGGGCTTAAGTCTTGGCCAAAATTGCGGATCATTATTGAGTTGCCAAAAGGGAATAAAAGGGGATGGGTAATTAGGTCATTGCTTGTCTGAAATTGCAGACCCCTATGTTTTTCATACTCTGTTCGGACCTTTTGTGGACCTCCCTGGAAAGTCAAATTGCATGAGGCCACCTTCGTTCCTGCGAGTTGAATCACAATCTAACAAAGGATTTGGTCAGTGACAAACTCGCGCGTGATGATCATCCTTCTGTTGGGGATCCATGGCATGGTTCACGTGGATGAGCCAGAAAAAAACATCTGCCAGATGGCGCATTTGCAGACGTGCCGTCACCAGCCTTGGTTGTTGTTTGCAGGCGTGCCTGGTTCGGAAGGCAAATTTGTCTCCCGGGTTTCCTTCGCAGGGGCCTCGGCTTGCCTTTGAGAAGGCAGAAAAAGAACCCGTGCCGCTCTGGAGGAGGGGTGTGTCCCATTTTTGTTGGGGGGGGCAAGTGCCCGCGCGTGGTTTTGCAGAGGTAAGCCAGGGGGTATCATGAAGCGAATACCGAGTTGGACATTGCCTGGTTGCCTGCGGCAAGTGGAAGCACGGCTTCAAGAGGTTCCAGGATGGATGAGATCCAAGAATCTTTTGGGGGCCCTCTAGGGCCGTGTTGAGGTCACCATTCCAATGCGGATCACTATCTTTCCCGGGCAAAACGAAAGAGCGGAAAATGCATTGGGATCAGTTTGGATGCGTTTGGTCATATTTTTGTTTAAAGTTTTTGTTTCGCGACTAGAATCTAAAAACATATATTACGGTGTTTGCTGGTTTGAGGAGAACACTGAGGACAGTCCGGAACCAAGTCCTGCTAGCTAATTGCCACTCTAAGAGTCAAAAGCTAGAGTCGAAATCCCTTATTACCAGTGGTCAATAGGTGCTTCCCGAACAGGACCCAGAGGCTCGAACATGGGGAATATCTCCTTTGCTTCCCCTAACATTTTACTTCCAAGTTGTTCCGAGGTCACTGGAATTGCGTTTCGCAATGGGCTAAGCAAAACCGAGTTTCACCTGTCCTTCAAAGTAGGAACCATGAAGAAAGCCCTCCCACATAAAAACAGCACCTTCTAAGAGCCTTAGAAGGTACTTAGACCTCTTTTTGCTCCCAAAAGCCATCTTGAGGTACTTGGACCCTGCCTCTAACATTGCGGGTCTTCTCTTCTAGGTTTTCCGTTCAACTTTAACCACCCCAAAAAGTGTACCGTCAAAACAAGACGCACCTGGATCCCTCGAAATGGCCGTTTCAATATGTGATGGGTCAAAATTGAACCACCAGGAATTGGACCGCAGGTTTTAGTCCATAGCAACCCACTGGGGTCCAGATTTCGACTTTCTGGGCGTCAAAGTGAGAGAAAATGGTTGTTGTTTCGCTTCAACCTACCACTTGGTGAGTGACTTTGATTGACAAAACGCATTTAGGCCAGGCCCATTTTGCGGTTACCCTTCGTCCCACGTTGCCATGTTGTGGGGCAGCTGGAAGATCGGTTTCCTCTTGGGACTTTCTGTCTGGTGCTCTACCCAACTACCCCTTCCAGCTGAATATCAATCAATTTTGGTAACAGTAGATTGGTGCCCAAACAGTCCAAGCGCCAACGGCGTGACGGCGCGACGCTGCCATGTGGGAGGGGCCGAGAATTTTCTCGCCAGGCCGCGCTGGCCCCGGCACCTGCTGCGGCGCCCGTGCTGTCGCCGGCCACGGCATGAGCTCAAAGCCGGCCGCGATCAAACTGAGGAGTTCCTAGACTTCAGCGGATGGTTTTGTTCGGGTTGGCCCGTTTGAGCGGTAACTATGAAACTTGGTCAGGGCTCCTTAAAAGATACATGTTGCCCATTTGAAGCATGGCTTTTTCCACCAAAATAACGGGAAACCACCATCCACAAGGCAATGTTCAGGTGTATAATGTAACAATCCCTGGTTACTTTTCGTTGGCTTATCTCAGGAAGTGAGTTGCATCCTTTCTCCTTTTCATTCTCAGTTGAAGCGAACTCACGGGATCTGACCGTTTTTTTCCAGGCGCTGTGGGTAAGTGAGTGTTATTACCTAGGCTGGGTTTAAGGGATGCATCGCAACCGAGCTGGACATGGATGACCATTTACTCACTTATGAGCAAACGAGTATATGGAGGCTTCCAATATTTGGGAATCGATTCTTATTTCACAGGGCTCCTTGAAAGATACACTTTGCCCATTTGAAACATAGCTTTTTCCACCAAAAAGGATTTAGAAGGCAATGTTCAGGTGTGTAATGTAAGGATCCCTGTTTCAGGCTTGGAATCATTGCCATGCAGATCTTGAGAAGCATGGTGCGGGAAAGAGAATTGTTGGCTGTTTTGCCACAAAGCTACGTCCATGTGCTTTAGAAGATCTTATGTTTTCCCCTGGTGGTTTTGCAGGCAATCTATCACTACTGGAAATGCGTGTATCTTTTTTCCAGGAGCTTAAACGAGTGGAAGGCTAGGCAACCCTTCGCTCCATGTTCCTTTTGATTTGCTTTTTCTGGTTGCCTCGAAGAAAATGGACTCACCGGGTGTACTGCAAAAAACTTTGCGGGGTGCTATGTGGCGAACCAGGGACCCCGAGAATGATGGCCTTAGCTTCGGCTTCCCTCCAAAAACACGTTCACATCGAAGGCAAGCCACGCGCGAACCACAGGCCTGACATGTTCGTTGCGCCACACTCGCGCGTTTCTTGAAATTAAGTCAACGTTGTCCCTGTTTTGGGCCCCCCTTTTACATTTGTCCTTGATTTAAATGCCTTAAAGACCCTCTAGGATTGGCATTTGTTTCTTGATCAACCGATCCATTAAAAGCGATACACAACCGTTGGTTCGAAAAAAACGTCTCCCCTAGCTTCAAGACCATCAAGAAGATCAGATGTATCATCTATTTGCTTAGGAACACTGTTTTTGTTATTATTACATGTTCAGTCATCACTTCTCCAAATCCATTTCCTCTAGTAGCAGCATAATTTAGATTTCCATTTGTACAAGCTGCACTAATTCTACGCCGTCAAATTTCATCTCACGACAAAGCATACATGTAATATTGCACCAGGTTAGGGAAACCAGCGATGAAGTTTCATGGCCGCACTGGTTTTACACTTTAAGGTTCACTAAATACGAACCATCAGCAAGTATGTTTTGTGCTGGCTAAAGGCTGAGACAGTAGTGTGGGTGTTTCCCAACATGGGACACCCCAAGATTCCAGGGTCTCATTCTGTATTTTTTCTGGATTAACAAGCGACGTCTAAAACCGGTTCTTCATGCATGAACACCCCCTGGTCCCGTGAGGAAACTGGGCTTACAGGTACCCGTGCCTTCTGTTTGTGAGAAGGGTAAAGTGCCTTGATTTTTAATCTGCCAGCCAGTTCCGCGCTTCTGGGTCGCCTTGCGTCACCCACATTGGCCTTCTCCCTCTATGTTTGGTACTCTTCCAGGCTTGGTTGGGAAAACCAAAACACCATGAGGGTCCAACATACCTATGTTAGGGCTTTCTTTTGGTTTCCCAGATCGAATCCATCCAAGTATATAGGGCCCTCGCCACAACGCCATTATGGGGGGGGGGTTTCTCTCATACAGGTTGGTTTCCTATTGCAAACGGGACTCGTGTGGATTCAGAAGGGGATGTTGAGGCCTGCGCTTCCCATATTCTAGGTCCCCCAGTAGTGCCCTTTTACCCTTTTTTCCCCTACTAAAATAGACTAGATAAAAAAGGGTACCCTTATTCGATCCTCTCTACTGGAGGACCGACCTAGTATTATAATTTGCGTGTTTTGCTGATTTTTGCTTTCATCTACATTGATCGTTGCTTTTCGCTTTGCTCGACTGGGCTCACAGCTCAGACGTCTCACAAGCTGGCGGGCCCGTTTCCAGCAAGCGGAACATGGTGTGCTCAAAACTGAGAATCTTGGGATCTCAACAACAGGGCATTTCTTGTTAAGCTCCTGGCTGCGGCGGTGACGATGATGATGCACCTCTGTCGATTGCGTGGTCCCCTTTTCGCAAACGACAACTTTTGAGGCAACCAAGCTCTTCCAATGGAGATCCCTTTCCCCCTCCACAGGTATGCGGGCAACTCACTCTGGGGTCTCAACTCTTTTATAGTCTATGGGCGAAATGTGCGGCATCTGAAAGTCTGTTCTTTTGGCGCGCGGAGGGTAAAACGAGCTCTTTCAGGTTTTGGAGACAGGGTAAAAGTTGCAGATTTCTTCTCAACAAGGTCCCCCTGGAGTGCCCTTTGACCAACTTTTTTGGGGGAGGGTTCCCCTACTAAAATAGACTACAGAAAAAAGAGTACCCTTATTCTAACCTCTCAACTGGAGGACCGAGTCACTAGTCTTGTTGGTCAACCAGCAATATGTATGTGCTTTTTTTTTCTGGTGGAGATCCAACAATACCAGCGTGTCGACAATCTGACAGAAGCTTTGTGAGATTGACACCAGAATCGATTTCCCTGACTCCGGCAGGGGGCAGGTTCGGATGGCTTGGAAGTTGCGATATTCCTGAAGTCTCCATGACCCTTCAAAATGGGTTCATACACTCACAAGTCAGAATCATGGCCTGTTTGTTTGCACAGCTGTCAAATTTCGGTGGGATTCTCTATGGTTCCTGGAGGTTCTGCAGTCGAAGTGTTCCGGAAGGTGAGGCGGTTCCCGGGCATTCCAGAGAGAGGGTTCGTTGTTTCAGTGATTACATTTTCTGTATAACATCCATTTGCTTAAGAACATGTTCCATTTTCCCTTGCTGGTTTTAAAGGGGATCTATCACTACTGGAAATAGATTTATCTTTCTTTTTTTTCCAGGTGTCTTAAGCAAATGGAAGACAACAGGTACCCTCCAAACCCAAGCGGAAAGTGGCTGGTTACCCTGGGCATGTTGCTGTTGATAGCGCCTCATTGGGCCTTGCCTTGAAAAGCGGCCGCAATTGAAACACACTGCAAGGGCCCCGACTGTGGGTTCTTGGTCAAGACACCCTTGTTCAGGTCACCCCAATTGGTTGTTTGGATTGGTGGTTTTTGTAGGGGGTAAATTGGAAATCAGCACATATTACCCTTGTGCATTGTCATGTTGTTGCGGTGATATTGTGCCTCGTGGCGCAGCTTGCTTACGGCTCGACTGGATAATCTCGGCAAATGTGTGGTGCCCAGGCCAACTGCATTGCCCATGGAGCCATCGGAGTGTTTCCCAGATGTTTGCACCATGAGCCTTATCCAGCAATTCTTGGAAAGCCGCTGGGGTCTGCGGCTTGGCTTGCAGTCCGGGTTTCTTTCAACCGATGCAGCCCTACGGCACAAGCCTGCAAAGCTAGGTCCAGTCGGCTGTGGGCTTTGGCCTTCCTTTGAGCTGCGCAGTGCTCCTGACACGGCGCCCAAGCAGTCCATGAATGCTGGGAAGTGTTTGCTTGCGCGAGGAGTCTTAGGAAGCTATTGCTAGAGGCGCAAGCAAATGAGCCGCCTCGTTTGTTTATGCCCATTCCAGTGTTTTTGGAAGCAGGTCATCAAACATGGGAGGCTTGAGATCTCTTGTAGAATAGCCAAACTACGCACCGTAAATCTCCAAGAAGCTCCTGCGGGATAGACATCGTGCGCAAGCCTGCGGATAGGACTTGGAATTGATTGCTTGCGGCTTTGGCGGTTTGCGCTGCTCAAGCACATGTCAGCAAAAAGGAACGGGGCACTTCTCCGGGCCCCGCTGAACAAGGTTCGCAGAGCCACTTGAGAGGGAAGCGCCCAAAATTGGTATAAAGCATGGCTAAGGAGGCAACTGTTTTTTTTGTAAGAAGGGCCCGCACTGCCCTCACCTGAGAGAAGCCCAACGAGTCTGCATGGCAGTACTAGGTTGGCGCTAAGCGTTGCATATTGCTCATTCTAGCTACGGCTCGGAAATGCCACGCGAACAAGATCCGGGCAAGTTTCGCGCCAGCTTCGTGCTAGCCACGCGCTAGCTGACAGCCCCAAACATGACTGACGGAACACTGTCGTGCTTGTGCGTTAGCCTTGGATTGTTTTCCGTTTTGGCGTAGGAATTACACCATCGCATGGCTGCCACCCCACACCCCATCCAGCTGTCGGTTCTGGCTTTCGTCGAAACCTGGGCAGCCTGAGGAACAGAACTGGGCCACTTGAAGTTGCTTCCATCAGCGGCTGTGGCGGCTGCAATGGCGACACATGTGAGGACTCGTTGTGCCAGCTATTTGCTCAGCCACGGCCAGCATTTTGCCGCTTGATCTGCGTAGGTCCAGCACCCGTTGGTTCTGGCTCTCGTAGCTGCTCAGGAGGGCTACCAACAGCGCCCAAATTGTTTGCTGCCGGGGCTTGGAATTGATGGTTTGTGGCTATGCGCGCTGCGTTTCTCACGCCCACTTGTGTCAGCAAACATAGCTATCATAGCCTCGCTGAAAGAAGTTCGCACAACCAATTCCAAGATATCTCCCACTTGTTCAGAACTGCAGCCCTGCCTTGCAGAAGTACCCGGCAGAACCTCCACGAAAAGGAAGTAGACCGCAGCTGCTTGGCACAACTACTTTGCAGAACCTGCCCTAGGAGCATAACCCGCCGCCGCATATTTTTCCTGAGAATGCAGTAAACTAGCGAATCTGATGCCTGACGTCTCCTCCATTGTAAGCTGAGCCGTCAGCGCTGCAGGGCGCGCCGGGACCGCTGTAGCAGCCGCAAGATGAACGTGCACCCTAACCAGTTTATGGTGGGTGTGCAGCCATGCCATTGCTTTCGAAGCCGGTCATCGAGCTCGGGGCAAGCATGGCTCATGGTTTGAGATCTAGAGCGAACCAGTAGACGA